TTGCTGCCCAGGCGGGTCTCGACCCCGCGGGCTCAGGCAATTCACTCACCTCAGCCTCCCAAAGGCGCGGGATTACAGGCTGAGCCACCGAGCCCGGCTCTAATTTTTTATTTATTGTAGAGACGAGGTCTCACCAAGTTGCCCGGGTGGGTCTCAAACCCATGGGCTCAGGCAATCCACCCGCCTCGGCCTCCCAAAGTGCTGGGATGACAGGCTGAACCACCAAGCCAGGCCAACTATCATATTTTTTAAAAAGCTTCTGCAAATTGAGAGGAAGAAGACAGCCCTAACATGGAGAAAGGATTTAAACAAGCAATTTACAGAAGAACAAATCCAAATTTGCAAGAAACGCACACTAGTTGTGTGTGTGTGTGTGTGTGTGTGTGTGTGTGTGTGTGTGTGTGTGTGTGACAGAGAGACAGAAAGATGGGAACGCGGGGGATGGGGAGAGAGTGGGCTGAGGAGGAGGGAGCTGAGCTAAGGTCACGATGACATCTCAGCTTCGCTTCCAACAGACTGGCACACTCGTTTGGTGGCAGGGCCAGGAGAAGCTTCTGCCGCTGCTGGCAGAGCTGTGAATCACAGCGTCACTGGGGAAAACAAGTTCCCTTCAGTCCTACAATTCCACTCCAGAGAAGACCCCGCCCCGGGGACGCGGAGGCCAACATGTGGGGTTCCCAGCAGGGCTCGGGAAGTCACTAAGGCCAAAGGGACCTGGAGAAGCAAATGCATAGTAGTGTGGGGCCCAGGGCCTTATTTTAAAAGAGCAGCGATGGACTGGGTGTGGTGGCTCATGCCTGTAATTCCAGCATTTCGGGAGGTGGAGGCAAGAGGATTGCCTGAACCCATGGGTTCGAGACCAGCCTGGGCAACATGGTGAGACCTCGTCTCCACAATAAATAAAAAAAATTGGCCGGGCTCGGTGGCTCAGCCTGTAATCCTAGTGCTTTGGGAGGCCGAGGTGAGCGGATTGCCTGAGCCCGGGTTCGAGACCCGCCTGGGCAACTTGGCGAGACCTCATCTCCACTATAAATCAAAAATAGCCAGGCGTGGTAGCGTGCGCCTGTAGTTCCGGCTACTCGGAAGGCGGAGGCAGAAGGATCGCAGGAGCCCAGCAGGTCGAGGCTGAGGCGGCCGGGAGTGGCCACTGCACTCCGGTCTGGGCGACGGAGTGAGACTCCGACTCAAAAAAAAAGGGCAGTGATAACAGACCCCTGTATGTTTCATATGACTGAAGGCCACGGGGACAAGTGTGGGCTGTTGACAGAGACCCGGGTAGGGGAGGCACTGACGACAGACGCGAGCCACTCGAGTAGCAGGCACACGTGCTGCGAAATCCACACGCCACTGTGTGCGGATGACTGCATGGAGAGACATGCGAGGGCAGCGGGTCACCAAATCCGGGCCGTCCCCTCAGGAGGCCACGGGCCACGCTGACACGCTTCTCTACACGTTTCAGCAGTGCTCGTTTGGCTTCCCTCCCGTGGGCACGCCGTGTCTCCACGGTAAGAGCAGAAAGAACAGAACAGCCACTTCGGCCAGGCAGCAGCTTAGCTGAGCCCGCTTGGGCCGGGGAGGGCGACGCCCAGTTTCTGACCCTCCGTGTTGTAACTGACAGCTGAGCCCGACTTCCCGAGTTTCAGTTTCTTTATCTGTGAAATGAGGGGGCTGCACAGATGGCGTCTCAGAGCCCTCCCAGCCTCGCAACTTCTAGCCGTTAGGTCAGAGGTGGGAGGCCCCATCTGGCAACCCCGGCTCTCCAGCTGTGCAGGGCAGCAGGGCCTACAAGGCTGCACCAGACCAGAGCGCCGGCCCGAGCGGAGCCAGGGGGCGGCGCAGCCATGACTGGCCCCCTCTGGCATCTCAGAGTCCCTGGCATCCGCGGGCCCAGGCTGGGGCTGAGGCGTCCTGAGGACCCAGCCCCAGAAGTGAGGATTGTCTGGGCGGGCAGGCACGTAGGAAGCTGCGTGACTGACGCCAGCTGGCCACACGTCAAGAAACGCTGGTCAAAAAAAGGGCCTGGGGAGAGAAGGTTCCAGACCATGGCCAGCCGGCTGCCTTCTTGGTGCAGCTGCTGGGGCCCACACAGGTTCTGAGCTTCAGCTGGGTTGGCTCGACGTAGCAAAGAAAAGTACAGGACACCCAGGTCAAGCTGTCTTTCAGGTAATCAGTGAATACTTTTTCGTCTAAGCACGTCTCGTCTCGTGTAACATCTGAGACTTATTCTCTTCCTACATAACATCTGGCAAGTCTGGAAGGGGCCCCGGCGGGAGAGTGGGGCCCGCTCTCCCAGGGTCTCCCCAGGCCCCTGTGGTTCCTCTGCTCCCCCCAAGCCATGGTGGTGTGTGTAGCTCTCCACGAAACTGTCCTGAATCGCCCCAATCTGGGCGTGCCACCTGTTTCCTGTGGGAACCCTGCCTGACACAGGAATGAATGAGGGCCAGAAGGCTCCCAGGGTTATCACATAGGTATTGGTAGAAATGAAATAAACTGCCAGGTGTAGTGGCTCACACCTGTCATCTCAGCACTTTAAAGGAGGTGGAGGAGAGAGGATTGCCTGAGTCCAGGGATTCGAGACCAGCCTGGGCAACTTGGCGAGACCTCATCTCTACAATCAATCCAAAAAAGTAGCTGAGCGTGGTGGTGCATGCCTGTGGCCGCAGCTACTCGGAAGGATCACCTGAGCCCAGCAGGTCGAGGCTGCAGTGTGTGGTGGCCATAAGCGTGCCACCGCACTCTAGCCCGGGCAGCAGAGACTCCTACTAAAAAAAAAAAAAAAAGAAGTAAAATAGCTGTTGGTGCTTCCAGCTCAAAGGTGGACAATGAACAGGTCCTGACAATTCTCTGTCAATGCAGGAATGCACAGAGAACTCACAAGAGGGGATCAGTCGGCCACTCGCTGGAAAGCCTCCCCCCATTCCCTTCTCTGAGCCCCCAAGGAAGGCTGCCCTCTCCTCGCCCTCCCCCTGGCCTCTTTGGGGTGCCCACAGCCCTGTTTCTCTTCTAGGGCACATGGGGCCTTCAAGACTTCAAATGGAACAAAGCCACTTCTCCAGCAACTGCAACCCGGCTCCCCCTCCACCCACGGGTGTGCCCTGCCTGTGGCCCCAAGCTCTGGCTCAGGCCCCATCATGTGCCCCAGGCCTTTACCTGGTAGTTTCAAGAGAGGTCTTCAAGCGTGGGTTTGGTTGAGACCCACCAGCCTGTAACCCACTGGAGACGTGCTCCACCAGGACAGAACGTCCTGCCTAGGTACCCAGTTGCAAAAGCATTTCAGACATCATAGCCATGCTCCAAATGCCGCCCGTGGGGGCACTAAGTAGGTGCACATGGGCAGCCCTTCCAGAGATTCCAACTGGCAGGGACGGGGCACCCTCTCTCCACTGGCTGATCCACCCACTTAGCCATTCGGCTTTCCTCATCCACTGGCTGATCCACCCTCTTAGCCATTTAGTGTGCGATGGCCACTCAGGTGGGCCCAGAGTGTTGTGTACCAGTGGATGAGGAAAGCCGAAACCAGTGACCCTACTCGGCACTCGAGGCTACAGGGACAGGACCTCTGGAGTCTGGCCCTGGAGAGAACCTGGGTTAAGCAAGTGGCTGACGGCAGCTCTCCTCAGAAGGCCCCTGGAGAGAGAAGATGTCTTCTGGAGGAAGCTGGGGAGGCCTCTAGGCAACTGCTAGCAAGCAGGGGCAGGACTGCACAGAGGGGCGTGGTCTTCAGGGGGCTGCAGAGGGGTCCAAAGGCAGAGTCCTTGCCGCCTCCGTGGCCCTGGCGCCCTGACCCATAACCAGCGGCCTGTGCCCAGAGCCGTCATCTACCCAAGGAGCACGCTGATGGGTGGAGACGCCATCAGATCATGGCTGACAGGACCTGGGTGACAGGCATGTGACAGTTGCTCAGGTCATGCTCTGGGTCTCCCCAGTGACCCGTCAGTAACCCCAGCCACTGGGGTCTAAGCCACACACCGGCTCTGAGGGCAGGACCCACTGAGCAACCTTCTGTTGAGAGCTCAGCTTTCCCACGTGTGTGCTTCTTCATCTAGAAGCAACCTGCCTGGGTTCACAAAGATCTGAGATGACATGGCTTTCTTTTATTTTTTTGAGTTGGAGTCTCACTCTGTCACCCAGACTGAGCGCGGGGGCACGCTCACAGCCACCGCAGCCTCAAACTGCTGGGCTCAGGTGATCCTTCCACCTCAGCCTTCCAAGTAGCTGGAACTAAGGCACGCGCCACCACGCCCTGCTGATTTTTTGATGTATTGTAGAGATGAGATCTCGTCTCGCCCAGTTGCCCAGGCTGGTCATGAACCCACGGGCTCAGGCAATCCTCTCCCCTCCGCCTCCCAAAGTGCTGGGATGACAGGCGTGAGCCACTGTGCCCAGCTGGTGACATGGCTTTCATGTGACCTGCCTACAGTTGCAGATGTCACAGGGAGTTAAGTGATTTCCCCATCAGTCTGCTAGGCATGTGTTTACTGTGGCTCAGTCTCCCTGAATCCAGTCACCCTTGGGGACACTCAGTGGTAGCCTGGCTAACTGGCCTGCTTGGCTGCTGCCACCCCAAAGATACTGCAGACAACCACTCTCGCTCCAGTCGCAAGCAAGACAGATTTCTTGGGGTCGTTTCCATTCCCCAGTGCTTTATTTTGAAACATTTCCAGCTACAGAAAAGTGACACACAGGGTATGACAGGCACCCACATCCCCTTCACCCAGATCTCAGCTTCACGTCTTTGACAGTGAGTTGCAGAAATCATAGCACTTCTCCCCTCAACGTGACACCTGCGACTTCTACGGGAAGGCCAGTCTCTGTGCCCATCCTATACTGTCACACCCAGGACGCCTAACACTGTTGAGAGACTGGGAGTCCCAGGTATTAGGCAGCTTTTTCCACACTAACGCATCTTCCCCGCAGGAGGGACTCTCCGGCGAGTGGTTACATCCGTCAGGAACAAGAACGCGAAGTGGAACTGGAGCACGTCGCAGACCTTGGACCAGAAGTGGCCAGTGAGGCGCTGGAAGAGACGCCAGCGTGCAAGGTGGTGGTCACACAGCTTGAGGACCACAAAGCCCAGGCAGGAGAGCACTCCCAGGGCTAAGTAGGTGGCCGAGGAGGCACTGCCAGACTGCCTGTGGGTGCGGAGGGCCTGGCCCACGGCAGCTGCCACGTGAACCCCCAGCGCAACCTCAAAGCCCTGGGCATGCAGCAGAGCCAGGCCGTAGCTGGACAGGGAGAGGCCCTCGATGACGAGGAGCCGGCAGGGCCTCCAGCCCCCATCCAGGCAGAGGCACCAGGCCACCGGCCACGCGAAAATGGGCAACGTGAGCCACTGGTCCAGCACAGCGGCAGGCCGCGCCTGCGTCCAGATGCGCAGCCACTGCACGGGGCCGTAGAGCAGGGCCATGGCGGCAAACACGTCCTTCAGGTAGCCAGCCCGCCGCTGCCCCACGGAGCGTCCCGCGTCACCGGCGTCCCTCCGCAGCCAGTACACACCCAGCAGCACGTAGGCCAAGTTCACCAGCGAGTTGAAGGGCATGGCCAGGGCGGCAGGGAGGCTGGCCACAGGCACTTCCGCATAGTGCTCATGGCCCACCTCCACGAAGACGCCGTCGAACACGCCCGAGTAGACGGTGGCAACGCAGAGGCAGCCAGCCACTGCCACGTGGCACAGGGCCTGCCTCGACTCTGGCTTCATCTGGGCAGAGCGCTTCAAAGCGTCAGCCTTCGCCGTTATTTCAGAATTCAGACGGACAGCTTTTGCAAAACACTCCCTGGCCTCCCAGCTGAGCCAGCAGGAAGAAGTCCCCGTGATTTCCGATGCAGATGCCGCGACCTTGCCCCGGAGGAAGGCAGGAGTCCTGCTGATTGGCTGGCACGCGCGGAGGAACGTTCTGCCTTTTTCCTTTGTGGTTACAAAAGAGGGTGGTTAGAAAACAAACCATCCAAAAAAGAGCCTCCATCTTCCTGGCTCTCAGCCCCAGGATCCACCAGCAGTTTCCATCAGAAAAGAGCACACAACAGTGAGCCAATCCCCACGGCATGTTCACCTCCTCACTTGTGCTTCCAGAAGCCTCTAGAATCCCCATTGCCTCTCTCTCCTGGTACCTATGCTGCTGTCTTTCATCTGCGTACTATAAAAATCCTGCCCATTGTCCTAGTTCCCTCAAAGCCACTGCATTGGGGGACTTAAACCCTTCCTAGGTCTGTCGTTACAACTCAGAATGGGCTTTCCCATCTCAGTGGTATGATACATGTGGAAACTTCCAGGCCAGCCCCAAAGCCCTTTTAACCAAACACCCAGTCAAACTGGAGGCCATTAGATGGGGTCCGAGTTCTGGCCTCTGAGGCAAAGGACACCGTGGTGCTGGGGAGGAGGGAGCAGCAGGGGAGGAGGGAGCATTAGCCCTTTGCCTTCCGGGCTTGTCCTCCTGCCCTGCCCCGAACTGCTGAGCTTCAAATCACCTTCCTTCCTCGCCCATCATAGAACCTTCGATTTCCTGCAGTCACAGAACCAGAGACAGCTTAATGATTGCTGGCTACTGCTTTGGGGCCAGCTGTGGGGTGTTAGCCCAGGAGCCAAGAAATGGATTAAAACCGAAGGGAGGAGCGTTTTGATGGTCTGAAAATGATTCACAGCTAAGAGGGCAGCAGGCAGCAGACTCAGGGGAGAGAACGGTGGGCTTCAAGTTCCAGGAGGTCTGATGCCAGACCATCTGCGTCAACCCTCAGCTCTTCCACTTCCTGTGCGACCTTGAGTCTTAACTGTTCTGGGCCTCAGTCTGCTCACCTGTAAAATGGGATGCTACCAGTACCTTCCCTTGTGTGGATTTAACTGGTTCTTTTTTTTTTTTTTGAGTTGGAGTCTCACTCTGTCACCCAGGCTGGAGTGTACTGGCCACTCCCGGCCACCGCAGCCTCGACCTGCTGGGCTCCGGCGATCCTTCCGCCTCAGCCTTCCGAGTAGCCGGAATTACAGGCGCGCACTACCACGCCCGGCTGATTTTTGATTTATTGTAGAGATGAGGTCTCGCCAAGTTGCCCAGGCGGGTCTCGAACCCGCAGGCTCAGGCAATCCACTCACCTAAGTCTCCCAAAGCGCGGGATTACAGGCTGAGCCACCAAGCCTGGCTTTAACTGGTTCTTATACATACGATCCCCGACTGACAATGGTTCAACTTATGATTTTTCACCCTTTTTTTTTTTTTTTTTGAGTTGGAGTCTCACTCTTGTCGCCCAGGCTGGAGGAGTTGCAGTGGCATGCTCACGGCCCCTGCAAACCTCGACCTGCTGGGCTCAAGTGATCCCTCCTCCTCAGTCTTCCAAGTAGCTGGAACTACAGAT